CCCCAAAACCCCAAAACCCCAAAACCCCAAAACCCCAAAACCCCAAAACCCCGTTTAGTGAATTTGGAGTTGAATTTATCATAATTTACTGATTCCAACAGATTTCAATGGAAGTTCAGAATAAAACCACCAGTTTTTCAGAAAGCTTGAAGAAGAGTAAGTCTACTCTAGGTAGGGCCTCTCTAGTCTGATGAGATTGATTTTGGCTGGGTTTTGAGATGTTGATTACCAGAATTGGATAAAATTGTTTTAGAGCAAGAGATCTCTGCTAGTAAGAGAAAAGATGAGGAGAGGAAGGTTATTGGTCAAGGAAACAACCTTCCAAAGACTAAAATTGCTGCTACTTCTGTTCTCACAGAGGTACCTGAAGAGGGCAAGGTTTCAGTCACACCTCAGGATCAACAGAATGTTTCCCAGAGATCAAATTTTGTTAAGCTTTGCAGTCAAAGAGAAGGAAAATTCACTCCAACCAAGAGTGAACTTGGTCCTTCCCAGGTAGATAGATCATCGAAATTTTGTAGCAGCAAATTCAGAAAAATGAGTTTGATGAATGTTTCAAGTCTCCTCTTGAGCCAGCCAAGTTTGGAGAATGCAAAGATCATCTTGTCACATCCTGAGAGCGATTTTGTTCATTGCTCTTATTCATCTCAGTCATGAAGTCCAAGTCAGATATCTCTAAAAGGACTTCAGGAATTTTTAAAGGATCAAGCAGGAGTAAAATCGACTAAGAAGGCTTCAATGTTCACTCTCAGTCTGATAACATGCAAAGATAAGCAGGTTATTCCATTCAAGATGTTCAGACAGTCAGACCTAAATTTCAGTAGAGAGTTTTGTGAGCAGATCCATTATGCGGTAATTTTCAACTTTCTTAACTCCAAAACCTCTCTGAGTATCTCTTCGATGATGAGCTGGCTAAATCAGTTTCGTCTGTCCCATTTTGCAGCCTAGACTAATCCTCATCCGCTTCATAGTAATTCCTGCTAGTGAGAGCTCTCTAGTCTCCTCTAACCCATTGTATAGGACCAAGATGAAGATTATGACACAGACGATGAGATCATGGAGCTCTCCAACAGAAGGGTCAAGAATGACCTTGACCTAGTCTTCAATGAGATCTTCTACAAAGGCACTGAGATGACATCGATCTGTAGGAATGCTAGAATCGGCATAGAATTTTAGTTACATTTTCAGAGTAATTTTAGCATTTCAAGTAACTTGTCTAAGATAGGGGTTTTGGGGTTTTGGGGTTTTGGGGTTTTGGGGTTTTGGGG